GGGGGGGGGGGTGGAGTAGTGGACAGGTAGGTTTGTTAAAGTCCTGGATCTGTTTTCATGGCCCTGGTTTTAGGGTGGGGGTTTCCTTTAAGATTGAGAAATAAATGTGTCTCCTTAGAATATTTTTATTCCTGCCAGGCTCGTTACAAGACCCGTGCTGAGCAGTTTTTATAAAACTGTAATAAAACGAAGTCTGACTTTTGATTTAATTAATAGAAATTGCAGACAAAAAAGAAAAGAAAGAAGATCACACTGATGTTGGGTTATAAACTTTCTAACTGGACCAATTTGTGGTCTCCCATCCTTTCCCTGTAGAGGGGGTCTTTAGAGATGATCAGAGGTCAAATGGATTTCTTTGCAAGCTATACCTTCTGTTGTCACAGTCGGTGGAGGATAGGGTAAGGTTATTTTGGATGTCTGTTTCTTTAGTCAATTCTCAAACACTGGAGAAACTAATAGAGATCAAAGTGGGAAAGGGCCATTAATACAAATGAATTCCATTTATACAAGTTGGAAAAAAAAAACACACAGGGCATGTTCCACTTTTTTTTTTTTAACACTCCAGGTGTGACGGGAGATTAGGTATCCAACAAGGGAGAGAGGAGAGTTAATTAAAGTTTTTTTGTTCTGGCTTACAGAAAGAGACATCTTTTCATTTTCATAAGCAGGATAAGCAGGATGGCTTTTGAGAGCTGTTGGTGCTTTCTTCTTCTTAGGAGTGTCACCAGAAAGCAGATCAAAGCAGCCTTCCTTCCGGATCTATTTCCAGCCACCTTCTCAGCTAATGGAGTCAAAAGTGTCTTCAACTGATGGGGTGGGGCTCATCAGACTTTAGAAAAGCCATCTCACTGTATTAGTAATATGCAAAGTGACCTCTATAGATGCTTATGGAAAACCATATTTAACATGAATTAAATAGGAACCAGCCCTAAAGGCCCAAGCGGGAGGGAGAGAACGAGGCAGGTGCACCTCCCCCTCCTGCCTGTATTTTATTCATCAACTCTGATTGACAGCCCAGAAATTAGCACTCAGGCTTGAATGTCCGAGGCACTGTAGATGTGTGTCCTCTGTTCCTTTTGGTCCTTGTGATTCAGCACCCCATGGCTGACATTTCTTACCCTTGCAGGGCCAAAGGGAGGGCATGTTTTGGAGAATCCCTGCTGTTTTTCTCTTCAAGATAGTGACAAAGTGAAATAAGACAGAGTGAAATAGAAGTGGCCCTGGTGAGGCCTGTTGGAGCCTGTGGGTCACGGGCAGCAGGGGTTGGTCATTGTCTTGCAGTTCTGGGCTCCTGCAGAGAAAAACCTGGCCTGGCTACAGCCACCAATGAAAAGACTGCATTTTGCCACTCAGGGCTTTGTGAAGGTGCCAAAGCTTGACATGGTTGCTATAGCTACTGTCTGATTGTGGTAGACTTGTCACAGTGCTTGATAAAGTGGGAAGGTTATCCCTGATAGGCCCAAGTAATCAGAACCTTGCAAAGCCTGAGTATGTGGATTTAAATTGTTTTTTTTTTTTCCCTCCCTTTTAAGCTGGGAGTGCTGGGGGCAGGGTTAGGGATCTTTAGTGACAGAAGCCACAGGACTTTCTTTCAGCTTTAGCAGAAGCTTGTACTAGTCTGGAAGGAAGGTGTCCTTAAGTCTTGAGGGACAACAGAAATGAGGGGCAGGGTGGCTACCTGCTAAGCCGTGGCTGGGATGATTGTGGCTTTGAGCGATGCTGCAAAGACCCTCCCGTGACCCGTCCTGTAAATTGATTCGGTTTTTTCTTTGCGGTCCCTTGCCTCTTCGCCTGCCTTTTCTGATTTTCCATTTTTCCCTTTCCTCCTGCCTTTGCCCGCCATCGCATTTCTCACAGACCCGCAGATCCTTGGAAAGGACGCCTACCTTTTCATATGGGTGATAAGAACAGTTAAATTGAAAATGGCAGCACAGATTTTAGCTCCAAGATTATAGACACCTTTTTTCTTCAGAAGGGAACTAAGAGTTTATCTGGATGGCGGTCTCTTGCTCCGTGGTACAGAGACGACAATAGTGGCTCTCTATGGATTCTGCTGTGCTTCCGGAAGTCCTAGGTCACTGGACTAGGTATTCGAACCTACATTTCCCCCACGTTCCCAACTGAGGTCTGTGCTACAGTTGCCTGACCAAGGTGTAAGAGCCACAGCATTGGTCTGGCCTTCACAGTTTAGAAAACCACAGGTAGATTGGTTACCGGGGATTCAGGTGACTTGGTAGACAGGATGAGAGACCTTCAGAGCCATTTTAAAAAGTAGATTATTTCCTCAGCCTCTCTCTCAGCTTCCTAGTTCACAGCATCCAGAGCCACCAGCATGACTCCCTAGCCTACCCTACAGGTGGCCTCCTCAGGTCCTACTTTATCTAAGAAAAGTGTGTGTCCCCAAGTGAAGCCCGCCCTGCTACCCTGTACCTGGCCAGGAAGCCTGCTTTGACCAGGTGTTAGTATTCTGTCTAAACTCCACCTCCACAGTTACCTGGCAACAGCCAGGTAGGCCTGCCCACTATAAAAGGGGCTGTTTGCCCCCTCCTCTCTCTCTTACCCTCTTGCTCCCCTTACTCTCTTGCCTGTAGCTTCTCTCTGCCCCCCTTCCCTTCCCCCTCTCTCTACATGGTCATGGCCTGCCTCCTCCACTTCTCTCTCTTCTCTGTTCCCTCTCTTCTCTCCACCATTCCTCCCGTTTCTCTCCCCACCCTCTGCCCTAAATAACCCCCCCCCCAAATTCTCAAGTCTGCAGCTCGCGTACTCAGAGACTCCAACTCTGCTTTGCTTGGTTGGATCAATGGGAGGATTGACTCCAGTGGTGAGGAGGTAACCGTAGATGACAGCAGCGCTCACAGTGGCCTTTCTCTACAGGGTACAGAGGTGCAGACCGACTACATGCCCCTGCTGAACTCGCTGGCAGCCTATGGATGGCAGCTCACCTGTGTGCTGCCAACACCCATACTCAAGACTACCAGGTAACAAACATGGTGACCTTGATGACTACTGTCATGGTTCATGATGGATGGAAAATTTCATTAGTCCTGCAGCAGGCTTGCTGGCTGGCACTAAACCTCTCTGGTTGGGGCTTTCAGATCCAGGGGTCCACTTACACCTACCCTTCTTCCCCCTCCTCACATAGAAGAGTCTTGCCAGTGAGTCAGGGTTGCCCTGGAAGATTGAGATTGGCTGCTAGGCTGGCAGAACAGTGCACCAACAGATGGAAAAGTAGTTCCATGTCTACTCTGGGTTCTGGGCTTGCTGGTACTGTGTATATAGAATCTTAGTTTAGAGAGGGAGGGAGGGAGTCAGGAAGAGAAAAGAAGAAGGGGTGGAGAGAAACAGAGTGGGATGGAGGGAGAGGGGGAGGGAAGAAGGCAAGGAGAGGGAGAGGAAAAGAGGGAAGGAGAGGGAGAGGGAAAGAGATTGAGCCATTGAGACTAAGACCTATGAGGTAGATTTTTGTCTATTTTTGCCTTTGAGATAGGATCTTACCCTATCCCAGGCTAGCCTTGAAACTATACTCCTCCAGCCTTAGCTTTGTGAATGATAAGCATATGCCATCATACCTAGCTGACTTATGAATGTTATTATTTCACATCCACTTTTCAGCCAAGGAAAGTGTGTCCTGGGATAGTAAGGGACTTGGCCAAGATCATGATGCTGAGCAATGAATGTCCCACGCCCCATGGAACAGAGTCTCAGGGCTCGCATTTGGTACTCCTCACAAGTTCAGGTTCACGGATGCTTGCCCACTGTCCCTTGAGCCCTGTCATACAAATACTAAAGACCTCCCATCTATATTTTGAGTCCCCCTGACATTCCTTGGGGTTGTAATCATAGCTACATTCCCATTTCATGGATGAAAAGTGAAGCTCAGAAAGGCCTGTCATGGACCTGAGGCCCAATTGGCAGGAGGTAGCCAGAATAGAGCCTAAGACCTCAGGATGCAGAATCAGGCTCCTGCCCTGCGGCTGGCTGCCCCTCTGTTGATCAATAGTGATACAACTCTTTCATCTCTTTTTGGCCCTGAGGGTTCTGCCTTTAGTGAACTCACTATACAGTTCACACTGCAGGCAACAGCAGGTGGCCTGGGCTAGTTGACAGTGGGTTGGTAGCCATGATAGCCTGTGACCTTCCTAGGCCCCTCTTCTGGCTCCTCTGGGTCTTCTCGCTCCTCAACATGATTCCCTGCCTGTCTATGGCAAGATTTGGTTTGGCCACTGGGAACCTCTGTGCTCTTTTTTGAAGACCAAGACTTCTCTAGGCAGAGGCTGATAGTGGAGCAGAAAACACCCGGTCTGCCATTTGCTACCTGTGTCATCATGGTTAAGCCCTGCAGCCTATCAGAGTGTTCCCTAGTTCCTTTCCAGAGGACACAACCATGATAAGAATGAGTTTTGGACAGGAAGACCCAGTGCTCTGAGGGATGTGAACCGTGGGGGTGCACAGAGCTGTCTCAGAGACACACACTTATTCCCTTTCCCTCTTCCTAACCATCTTAGCATCGGTGAATGGACAAATCTACTGGGAATGTGCTAGTCTATCTGAATCATCCTGGTGTGAATTCTGGGCTGACTGTTTGCTTCTGGTTTGTCAAGAGTGGTTGCAGGCTGCTAGCAGTAGGGTAGAGACCCAGTCTCTGGCCAAGCTGCAATGCTAGGCAAACTTTAGCTCTCCCTTCCTTGATCTCTAGACTGAAGGCAGACAGAGACATTTACAGAACAGAGTTAAGGTGAACAAAGGGATGGAGAGAACCCCATCACCTTTAGTATTTCTATCCAAGGCGCAGCATGGGGTCCTGCCTTCTCTGACACACAACTCAAGAGCTATCTATTTCTCTTCCCATAGGTGTGAGTCAGTGTTAATTACCATGTCCATCTTGCTGCTGACCTGACATCAATGTGTCTGTAGGAGTGACACAATAACCTACATATACATCAGCTCTCCCCGTACCACCTTCATGTCACACTGGAGGGCTAAACTCATGGCCTATCTGTATTATCCCGCATAGCATACTGTAACTACCAAAGACAGAATTGGAAGACAGCTCTGTTCTTTCGGGGACTCCCTAATCTGCCGTATCCTCACTTAACCAAGGCACAGCCTTCCTTCTCTTACAGGAAGCTCAGGATTATGCCCATGGGGAGAGGATGTGTCTGGGTGGTCGGGGGGCTTTGGGGAGATGCTCACCCTCAGCTCCTGTGTTGTAGGGAAGGAAACGTGTCCACCAAGCAGATTGTGTTTCTTCAGAGACCGTGTCTACCTCAGAAAACCAAGAAGAGGGAATCTAAGGTAAGAGACATGAGACCTCTCTACTCTCCCTCCCTGGGTTTATGTCTGTGCATCTTGGCTTCAGTGGGGTCTGTGCCAGCTGGGCCTCTCCCATTTCCAAACGCTCTTGGGGCTCAATGAAGACCTGGGTCCACATGGGATCATAGCACGGATGCTGGGATGGGCTGTCGAGGAACTGGAAACTGATCCTCAGCCTCCCTGATGGCCTGACTTCTGAGCAGATGGCAGATGCTTTTCTGGTCACCAGCATGTGCTAGAGAATCCCACAAGGCTAAAATCAGGACACAAAGCCAGCTGCAGTTTGACAGAGGCCAGGGAAGGGCTGAGCTCATGGTTAAATGTCCTTTCTGATCTCACGCAAGCTGGCTGGAGCTCTGGCCTGGTTATTAGATCCCTTAGGACATCAGAGTTTGTGATCCTGGCCTGGTGTATTACTGTTAAGTCTGAAATCCCTGCATTCAGGAATTACAGACAGGAAGATGAGTTTGAGGCCAGCCTCTGTTGTATAGGGGGCCTTGCCTTAAAGCGTAAACCACCTTAGCGGAGGAACTCCCAGTTTCTTCTTACTGGGACCTGAGCCAAATCTTTGACTGGCAGTTGGTGATGGAGACAGAGGCCAGCACAGCCTGTGGCAGTTCAGCCCCAGGCAGGCTCGTGCTGGAGGGTCGCCAGGTCTCTTTCCTCCTTGGTGAACTTCTCCTGTCTAACCTGGGCACAGCATCATAGAGGGACAGTGACTGTTCTCAAAGTTTTCTCCGTGTCCCGAAACTGAGCCCAGCATCTACTTCCAAAGATATTCCACCCATCCTCTGTGAAGTTGGGGCTTCTCCTGTGTGTTCCAGTTTGAATCTGCAATGTCCTCCAAAGGTTCATGTGCTTATGGCTTGGTCTCTGCCTGATAGTACTTTCATGAGATATATAGTTAAACATTTACATGATGGTGCAGAGTGAAAAGGAGGCTAGGCCATGGCAGGGGTTGGAGGGGAGGCATGTGAAGCTACACCATTGGGTAGGGGTGTGCTCTTGAAGGAGATATTGGAACTCGTGCTCTTTCTCTTTTGGTTTCTGGGTCACCACGGATGAACACACTCTACCACCCACTGCCTACCATCACACACTGTCTCATACAGGGCCAAACGCAATGGGATCAACCAAGCAAACCCCCTGAGCCAAACTAGACTTTCAGTTCTTTCAAGTTGACTTTGCTTTAACATTCAACATTGATTTTTATTTTATGTGTATGCGGGTATGCCTGCATGCTATCACCTGCGTGCCAGTGCCTGTGGAGGCCAGAAAAGGGCTTTAGAGACTTTGAACCAATTATAGGTGTTTGTGAGCTGCTTGGCATGGGTGCTGGAATTGAACCTGTGTCCTATGAAAGAGCACCAAGTGCTGAGCCAGCCCCACCCCCTCCAGCCTCCTTTAGTTGACTTAATCTCTTACAGCAAAAGAACACAGACTAGCATGCTGTAGGTGTGTTACTAGCTTCTCAGGAAGAGGTCAGCGTGTTGATATAGTCTATCAAAGCCCAGTTAGGTGTCACCTGGATCCACTGTGCTCCACCTTGATGGCCATGACCACACTCTGGCAAAAATTGCCAACCTGTTTGGCTCTGCGCAGTCAGCACCTTCCCCATATACCCCAGTCTTTGTTCAAGAGTCCCAGGTAGGAACATCCAGCCAGTGAACAGATTGCAGTAACCCCTTATCAGCCAACAGACCCTGTGGGTTGCCCACTTATTGAAGGAATGCCAGGTTGGTGAGGACAAGAAGCCAGATGGACTGGAGTGCAAAGGAAGGCCACTCTCCAGGCTCTGGGACAATAATGTGACAGGTGACAACAGAGGTGGACCAGAAGGCAGCTGCCAGTCACCATTAACCACCAGGAGCAGTCAGCCACCACCTGGAAGATGGATGGCTGTAGACTCATATCAGATAGTGCTCTCAGGACATCACCAGCCACAGAAAGCAACGTTCAGTAAGCAGCACACAGGGTCCCCCACTCCCAGGCATGGAGAGATCGGACTTTAGCTCTTTAATGGAAACAGCTCTAGACCCCCTCGCCAGGGGTCTCCTTGTGGAGCTCCTTGGTTTTCACATGAAGACCTTGGCATCCCACGGGGAGGGATATGAAAGTAGAACTGGCTTTCCATAGGGAAAGGAAAGAAGCCATGTCTTCTAAATCAGTGAGCCAACCCTCACTGGCTAGGCTGATGCCGACAGACCTCTCTCTCTTTAAGTGTCCTGCATCGATGTGGTGTTCAGCATTTACTCGTTCTCCAGGAGGCAACCCTCTCCCACCCCTGCCAAGAAAGAAGCAGGCTTCCAGAAAGAATGATGTACATTCCATGTTCCACTCTCTTGGTCCCCGCCCTTCACACCTCAGCTGCCTCCACCTAGGTCCCACCATGACCCTGTCAGCCTCTGTGTCTGGTCCTCATTGCTCCTATGGGCTTGTCTCTTGGTGCCGTCTTACCACGTGTATTAGTTGCTGTCATCAAATCCATGACAAGAGCATCTTCGGGAAGGGAGGGATTTCTGGCTTGCAGTTTAAGGTGGGCTACACAGCCCATCATGGTGGATGGCAGAAGGAACAAGAGGCTTCTGGTCACACCGTGCCTACAGTCAGCAAAGACAGACAGACAGGAAGTGGGGCCAGGTTAGAAAACTTCAAGGCCTGTCCCAGAGGCCCAGTTCCTCCAGTGAGACTCTGCCTCCTAAAGGTTCCATAACCTCCCCATACAGTGCCATCAGCTGGGAGCGAGGAATCAAGTACGTGAGCCCGTGAGGGACATTTCATGCTCCAACTACAATTCTTGACTCCCGAGCAAGCTCTTTAGGGCCCAGCCCCACTCCATCGCTCCTCTTACTCTTCCAGAATCTTCATTGCCAGGGCTGTGCTAGCCATCTCTGTGCTCACAGTTTCTGTGTCACCCGTTTAGTTTGTTTCACCTGGGCCTCCTCCATCTGCCCTTCCTTTTACTCCATTTAACCATGCACATGGGACTTGCCCACCCTCTCTCCCTCCCTCCAGTGTACCTGCCCATTTCTAGAATGACAGCACTCCCACGGGACATCCTCAGCCCCCTCTCCCCCTAGTTTATATTTTAATCCCTAAAAAGTCTAGAATCCCCCTAGTAGCATATGTCCAGCGACTCCCGCCTCCTGGTAGCAAGTCTCCCCTTGAAAAATGTTTTCTACTCAGTGTCAGAGTGATCATTTAAAAGATCAGCTCAGGGCTAGAATGATCTCTCAGCAGTTACGGATACTTACCCTTCTTGCAGAGGATCTAAGTTCAGTCCCCAGCCCCCACGCGGTGCCTCGAAACCTCCCAGTTGGTTACAAATTTGTAACAAAAATGTGGGTGTATGCATACCTACCTGTTAGACAGGACTCATGCGCATAAAATAAAGATAGACTGTTTAAGGCCGGTTTGAGGCTGGCACAGTTGCTCATGCCTGAAACCCAGTCCCTGGGAAGGTAGAAACAAGAGGACATTATATAGTAAAGGCAACGTCATCCTTGCTATGTAACACGTGTGAGGCCAGCCTGGAATACATGAGACCTTGTGTCAAAAAAGCAATTAAAAAGGAAAGAAAAGGCGGGCAGCAGCTGGACCCTCTCCCCCACTGCTCACGACAGACAGTAGCTTTGTTGTCTTAAAGATGGAGGATCTTTTCTGTGGCCCATGAAGCCCTCAGCCTTTTGCCCAGCCCTCCTCTACATACCTATGGCATTGGATTTTATGGTCCTCCACTGCTTCTGCCTCTAGGCCCTTACTTTTGGCTATACCACTGCATAGGATGCAACTCTCTATTCTCCCTCTACCCGCCTCCTTCCTCAGGAGAGCATTGTCCCCTTGAGGCCTAGCCACACTAGTTATCTTTATGTTGCTGTGACAGATACCTAGGACAGACTGTGAAAGGAGGAAAGACTCTTGGCTCAGGGTTTCCATCCAGGCTTAGCTGCCTCTGTTGCTCAGGGCCTGGGACAGGACAGAATTATGTTCTTGGGGATGTGAGGTTGAAGAGTGTCAACTCATGACAACCAGGATGCAGAGGAAGAACCCAGGATGGTCAGAGGACAGGAGTGTCCTTTCAGGACCTCCACTGGTGTACATCCTACAGCTTGGCCTGTAGAGAGAATCGTGTGTGCTGTATGGAGACATCACCTGTCAATAAAAGAGCTGTTGGCCTATGAGCTGAGGCAGGAAATAGAAGGTGGGACATCCTTCAAGGGGACAGGGATTCTGGGATAGAGTCAGGTGTGAAAAGATTTTCCACGGAATGCTGAGGAGAGGTAACAAGCCCACTTAAAGAATAGAACAAACAGGTAATTGAGTTTTGAGCTAGTTGTTATATGCCCAGGCTTATAGCCTAAGCATTTATTCATAATTAAGTCCCAGAGTTGCTGTTTCTGGGAACATGGGCATGGGTGAAAAGGCTGTGGTTGCATAGGCCCCATCACCCAGTTCCCTACCACCTCACAGTTAATGGTAGGACAAACCCATCAATGGATGGTGAGACCATTAATGAAGGCCCTCACTGTCTGGTCACCTCTCAGCAGTTGCCCATCTGGAGCCTCTCGAGCAACTTGGGGGAAACGCATTATATCCAAGCCACCACAATGGCACCCTGGGAAAGAACCCCAGACTCTTGCAGATCTCTGTTCTGGCTTTTCCCTCTGATTATTGTTCATGTGGTTCCTTGGGTGATGCTCAGGAGATGCCTGCTGAGTTGCTGACTGATTAATCAGACTGCTAAGCCCGGCTAGTCTAGTGCTAGCATCAGAATTTAAAGGATGGGACTGCAGGATTGGCAGATGTGACCTAGTGTGTCCTGTCAACCATTCCAGTTGATTGTGCCAGAGGAGTGTTCCTTCCAGCTAGACTCCCTCCTTCCTTCCTTCCTTCCTTCCTTCCTTCCTTCCTTCCTTCCTTCCTTCCTCCCTCCTTCCTCCCTCCCTCCCTCCCTCCCTCCCTCCCTCCCAGGGAACTCTTTGTTTTTAATAAACCAAATGAAAGCGTCATTCACTGCCACTAAGTCTGGACATCATTAGTTGGTGACTGGGTGTAAGGGCCCAGGCGACCTGACCGATTCATTCTGACCTTTGAATGCCTGAAGGCGGAAGTGTTTATGTTCAGGCTGAGCCATTCCAGTGGTGCCCTTATCCCCTAGAAAAGGATTGTTTTCTATTGTTGTTGTTTGCTTTGTTTTTGTTGTTTATTTGTTTTTGCCCAGAAGGGAAAGCTGGGAAGGTGGATCTGAAGAAATCAGGTTGAACTCCATCCCTGGGGTTTCCTAGCTGTGTGATTTGGGACAAGTTATCCAACATCTCTGAATGGCTTTGTATTGTGTGTAAAATGCTTATGAGGGGCTTACCTGGGGAATTAAGGGAGGTGTGAGCTCCTCTCAAGCATGAGATCTACTGGGGTCTCATATTCTTAGGCAGTGTGTCTTTGAGGTTCTGAATGTGAACCACTGTCCCATACCCAGTCCCAGACTGCTTCCTCCTGCCAAATAGAAAATGGGGAGGCCTGAGCCACATCTCCCTGGGAATCTGGCTCCGTGATTGCTGGGAGATCCAGGCAGCAGCAGAAGTCCCGAGGTAATCCCAAATCCATATGAGGACACAGGACATCTTGTACTCCTAAAGGCCTGGGTTGCCCGGGCAGGTCCCTCTGATGACCCAGAAGGGTAGAATGTAGTTGAAATGGGTCTTACTGAGCTCACAGTGACAGGCCAACCTCTCCACTGGAGAAGGTGCCGGAAAGAACAGTTTCTGTGCTCTGCTTCATACCCCTAGAGCTCTTCTCTTTTTCTGGTCAACAAAAGGTGGCCTTCTAGAGGACACTTTGTGGCCTGGCTTTCCCAGAGACCGTGGACATTTTGTGGTATAGTTAGCAAGGGCACATGCTGAGTTGATGGTAGAAAATGGGTCATCTTGTTGGACCCCAAGATCCAAACGGGGGACACGCTCCCACAACAACACTCACAGACAGGGGATTCGATGCAAAAGCAAGAGGTTTATTGATAACCAGTATACTGGGGTTCCCCCGCACGCAGGCTAGAGGAACCCCGAGTTAAAGCTAAGAGCAACTTTTATACGGTTTTCACAGGGTTTACGAGGGCAATCTTACAATCACCTCTTAGACAATGTTAGCCACAAAGGCTGACCTCAAATGGCTGCTCCCACACCCGGTTTCCTGGCAACTCATATTTGCACACTGTCTTATGACAATGAGTGTTAGCTAAGTCTGTTTTACCATAGCTCCTGTTTACCCAGGTTTATTGCGCTAAGGGGCCAGCTTCCTGATCTTGGGCCCTTCTCCTGGAATGTGTGTGTAAGTCTTTGGAATGTGCTTTTCCTGGAACGTGTCTCTGGAGAAGTTAATTTTTAAGTTTAGGCTGAGACCTGAGATTCCTTCAATCTCTAGGCTGGCAGAACTGTCCTTGATAGAACAGTGTGTGTCCACAGGAGACATTACTCAACACCATCTACAGTGTATGGGGCAAAGGACGACCCTCAGAAGAGAAGAACTTCACATAGATAAGAGTTTGCTTGGGGACAACCATCCTGTCCCAGGGCTAGGACATGGGCTCAGCAGCTTGAGGTTCTTTGGTATAGCTACAGGCAAGCCTCTTACCTGAGACAGTCTCACCATTCTTTTGACACAAGTACAGCTTCCTCTGACTTCCCCCAGCAACTGACTGCTCCAAGAATAAAATACAGGCTAACTTAACCAACTTCTCAGAAATCAATGGCAAAGGTCAGAAGGTTCTATTTCAGAACATCCATCTGGGTGGGGACCAAACCAGAGAAACGTGGTGTCCAGACATAACGGAGTACATAATAACATAATAAATATTACAGCAGCCAGCTGGGGTCTGAACGGTCCTCCGGATGTTTGTTGGGCCTTATGGTGTCTTATGGACAGCCTGGCTGCAGTGGTGCGGCTATACGGTGAATGGCGTGTGAACACATAACACTGGAGAACGTAAGGCTTGAGTGGGAGGAGAACGGCCATCCCAGAGGGCAATCTATAGATGTGAGAAAAGAACACCCCAAAGATGAGTGTTGGGAACCACATTCACATCCAGTGTTGTGAGTGAACCGAGCCTTCCAGGGTGAGATATGGGAGTATAGGATAAATGCCCAACTGTGATTCCATATGCCTTCCAGTGCTTTTCTGTATTTTGATGGAATATTCAAATTTAACAGTGTTTTGTTGTTGTTTTGGTTTTTTTGTTTGTTTATTTGTTTTGCCAAAGGATTCCATATTTGCTCTCTGACTTCTTTGAGAATTGAGGTCATTATTTTATGGGGAAGAAAGCTCTGACTAGCTTTCTAGATCGGACTAGCTTTAAAAGCAGTTTGTATAGCTTGCTTTTGTTTTGCCCCCAGAAAGCACTCAAAATCTTTTACGATGTGCCTGTGTTTGGTGCTGGTGGTGTAGCTGCGTTCTTAGGCTCTCCTCTGAGTGTTCTAGGAACCTTGACCTTCTGTCCCTGCGCCTTCAGGAAACCCAAAAACAAAAGGTTGTGGTTTCTGTTTCCTTGATCCCCAGTTGGTGGAAGTCTTTGATGAGGATTAGGAAGTGTGGCCTGGTTGGAGGAGGTGTGTCACTAGGATGGGCTTTGAGGTTCAAAAAGCCCATGCCATTCCCAGCTAGCTCTCTGCCTCCTGCTTGTGGATCAGATGTGAGCTCTCAGCTAGTGCTCCAGTGCTATGCCTGCCTTCTGCAATATACCCCACCATAGTGTTCGTGGACTCTAACCCTCCGAAGCTGTGAGCACCTAAACAGAATTAAATGCTTTTTCTTTTAGTCATGTTGTCTCATCACAACCATAGAAAAGTAGGACAGCTCAGCCTCCTGAGCACGGGGTGGGTGACATGCACGTTTCTCCTAGCGTTTTCCTTGAATACGTAAGTGTATATTTGGCATAATCACTGTGGTGCATCTGAAATGGAAGAAGGAGACTAGTGAAGACTTAGAGGCTAAAATCCCTCTATGTCTCAGGATCACAAAAGAGGCAGAGAAATCTGGCCAGTGAGTGTTCCAGCTGGATTCTCTCAGCAGCCCCACTCCCACCAGAACTACCTGAAGATTAAACCTCTTGCTAGTCCTCTCACTGGGTACATGGCCTTAAAACTCTGAGCCTCTGTTGATTTCCTTTCAGAGGAGCAAATACATAGTTGTAATAATGTCTGAGAAGCAGGATCAAGGATGGATTTGGGTGGAGGAGGCTTTCAGAGAAGGTACCTTAGAAGGAAGGAGCAGAAGGAGAAGATGGGGTGGGCTGCATCCCAGTCTCCAGGAGACTGAGCTGGGCTAGCTTTTCACAGTTGTTAAAAAAAAAAAAAAAAGTGGTTTGTTATGAACCAGCCATACCAGTCATAGGTTTGCAGGTTGCCTGGGGGCCTTCGTCAGATTGTCAGAGAGTCTTTGGTAACAGGCATCACTCCCACAAGTCCTGCGGGAATGTCTGGGTTCTACAGCATAGCACCTTGGTCCTATGGTACCCTTCTCCTTCCATAGCTCCCCAAAACTAGAACTCACATGGAAGGTGTTAGCAGGCACCAAGGGTGGGAGAGATGGGTTGGATTAGATTTAGCTTGGTGGTGTCCCTGGATTCTGGGAGATGTTGGGTTTGGTGGTGGGAAGCAGAAGAATCGGCTCCCGAGCCTTTACCAGTCTCCACTCTCTGTGCCTTCTAGTTCCAGTGGCGATTCTCCCGGAACGAGATCCACAGCAGGCAGACAAGGAAATCCAAAGGGAAACTCAGCACCAGCGACAAGCAGGAAGCAGAAGAGAACGAGAAGAATCTAGAAGACCAGTTCACCAAGGCTGGAGATGTGGGAAACTGTGTGCTGGGGGCACAGCAGTGGGGCAGGGCCTCTGAGGTCAGGGAGCAAAGGCGGGGCTCCACAGCTGTGCAGAATGGCCCTGCTGGCCACAACAGGGACTCGGTGGCCCTTAGGCACTCGAATCCCAGAGCAGAAGCTGAGCTTGCTCAAGGCCCTGCTTCAACAGAAGCAAATTGAGTCCGTAGTAGTTTGTACTAGGCCTCCATTGTGATTGCAAACCTTGGGAAGCTTGCTAGCAGCTGGTTTGTTCTGTGTTACCCTTTGGCTTGGCCTCCTATCTTTAGCTCAATGGCCCTGGGAGGACGGGTCTCTGACGGTGTTGTTTTCTGCACATCCACTGGAAAGCTGTTTTAATGGTCCACTTATATTAGAGTGCAAGGTTGGGCTGTTCCTCCTAGACCTCAGGGCCGGAGGCCTGGCTCTGGTCTGCCTCTTCCACAAGGGACGGGATGGACCACAGTGCCTGTACTGCCCCACAGGGCTCCGGGGCACATCTTGGTCAACTTCTGGGACATCTTTTGCTACAAACCAAGGTTTTTCTTCTCACTCGTACATGCTGCTTCTCTTGGCAAGAACTTAGTGACTTTAACCCTGCAGCCTGCCGGCTGGCCTTCTCCACCTGAACTCTAGAGACACTGCTGTTGTGGAAGGCCACAACACGATGTTGGAGAAGAGGAGGTACCCAAGCCTCCAGCCTGTCTTAAGATAGTTCTATAGATACTGGTGATCTGGAAACAAACAGGTAAAATTCCCTGTGCCCCGGCTCTTACAGAATGTTCAAGAAAGTATTCTGTGTTAATATTAATGCCAAAAAATATTGTTCTTAAATTTTTAAATTTTGTCTTCAACACATGTATGAATATGTTGTCATTTTGAGCAGTTGGTAACTGGGTGCCCTTGTGTGCTATTTTTGTTGACGTGTCGTTGACTGAGTTGTATGCTGTGCCTGTCACATGTTTATACTGTCCATAAAGTGTTGTTAAGGCTTTAAGTAGAAGCATCTGGCGAACCGTGGAAAGAGAACACCAGTTGTCTCAGTGGAAACAGCCCTGTCTCTTTCTTGTTTAGTTATTTAAAGCAATAAATGACCTGAGTTTAGTGCGTGGTGAGAAGTGAGTATTTACCATGTCTTGGAAGAGGTCCTGGTGTGGTGTAGAAGGACTCAACCCCTTACCCTCTGGTGACGATTAGATTTCTACCTCCTACCAGTGTGGTAGACCATGACAGACAGCAGAGCTACCTAAACACACCAGGGTTTCAAGCTTTGGTAAAAAAGAAGTGGAAAGTGAATTCAGATGCCATCCAGTGAGTGAGAGGGCACAGGTGGATTCCAATGTGTGTTTTCACGTAAGTTATCTACTGAGGAAAATCTTCACTTCCAAGTTCATTAAAACAAAACCTGCAAACCTGTGTAGCAGGCAGGACTGCAAAGCCTTGTCTAGCCGTATCTTTTTAAGTTTTAATTTTATGTGTATGGGAGTTAAGCCTGCATGTATGTCTGTGCGCCGCTAGCATGTCTGAAGCCTGCTGAGGTCAGAGAAGGGTATCAGATCTCTGGAGCTGGGGTGGCAGATGGCAGCCTCCCAGGCCGGATGGCTTCAGCCACTCAGCTTTGGATACATGTTTCAATAGGTAACATTTATGTTTTATTTACTGTGGGGAAAATTTCTTCAACTCTTTTGGGATCTTGTGCCACTATTAGTCTAACAAACGATACTGGGACATCTTCAGGGGTTTTTCTTCTTCTTTTCTTCTCCCTTGTACCCTGCTGATGCCAGCAGGAAGTCACTGTATTGTAGAAGTTCTTAAACTAGCTGTACATCGGGAAAACTAGGGCAGTTTAACAAAAGCAGAAAACATAAATGAACCTGTACAGGAATATCATTACATAGTCCAAGGTCACTAAAATGTGATTATGTCAAAAAACAAGATAGAATATCGTCCCTTTCCATCCATGGACTCCCATGCTTACTGTAAGTAAAATGATCTGTTCTTTTCTCTTCTATTTTTCTCTGCACAGAACACTTCTAAGATTATTAATGCAGAATTATAGAAAGCTTAAAAACCTTTAATCACACATGAGGATAAACTTACCAGGTGTGATTCCATAATCTTTTTAATTAGAATATAATTATATCATTCTCCGTCTTCTTCCCTTTTTTCTCTCAGTCCCTCTCATATTCATGGCCTCTGTTTTAGGTTGTTACTGTTACATGATTACAGAGAGAGAGAGAGAGAGAGAGAGAGAGAGAGAGAGAGAGAGAGAGAACACACCTGCTGCATCTACTTGTTAATACATATATGTGTATGGTTTCCTATAGTTCTTTGTCTAGAGTTGGACTCATGGATTTCCCCTTGTGAGTTAGTATCTCTGTTGCTGTTGTCCCTCTCCAGGTCTTCTTTCAGGGTTAGGTCATTGCAGGGGGAAGCAGCCCCTCCTGTCCTCCCCAAGCATTTCCAGAAGACACGGACTCAACAGATTTCCTGGTCCTAGCTCTCACTACCTTGTCTTCTTCACTAACTTTTTGCTCTCTGATGGTTAGGTACAGGAGTTGTGTTGTAGAGGTATTTACTGGGGTTGAGCGCCCCACTGTTACTGTTCTCTGGATTTTGATCAGTTGTTTTCTGTCACGGTCTTCATCTGCTTCAAAGAGAAGCATTTTTGATGAGGGCCAAGGGCTGCAGTTAACTGTGGGAAGAAGGATACGTGTTTTGAGTGCAGGTTAGAATTACGCTGGCTTAGTAATATGAGCATGGTAGGCTGTCCTCTAAGACCCATGACCTTGCTAGCTCTGGCAGTTGGCTAGGTTTCCAGCCCCAGGCCTGGTTTCCCTCCTAGTGAGTGGACCTTACATACAGCTGGACTAGTGGTTACCGCCAAGATGAGGTTTTACTCTGTTGTTCTTATTTTCGTTTAGTTCCAGGATTTTTTTCTTTCTTCCGTGATGTCTTCTTTGCCCTGTTCATCGTTCAGCAACGAATTGCTTAGTCTCCCTGAGTCTTCACACACTTGTTTGCTGTTGAAGTTTTATTACTTTGTGGTCAGATAGAATAGTTACTTCATTTTTCCCCTGAATTTATTAAGATTTGTTTTGTGCTCCAGGATGAGGTCTAATTTAGGAGACGCTTCCGTGGACTGCTGAGCAGAATGTGCATTTTGGTGTCTGGGTGGAATATTCTAAAGACATCTGTTAGGTCCATTTTGAGGTCATTTAATTCTGCCTTTTGCTGTTTATATTTTTCTGCAGATGACCTGTTAGAGAAAGCAGGGCATTAACATCACCTACTATAACAGCCTGACGTTAATCTGAGTCTTTCATTTCAGTAGTACGAGTCTTACCTAGCTGGATGCACCAGAGTTTGAGCCCGGTGCTTCTTGGTTAATTGTTCCTTTGATCAGAACGAAGTGTCCTTTATCTCTTCCGATGAATCTCACTTCAAAGTCTGTTTTGTCAGACGTTAGTCTGACAATGAGTGCTTGCTTTCTCCTCCCATTTGATTAGGGTGTGGTTTTTCCATCCCTTCACTTTAAGGTAGTTGGTCGCTAAAGCTGAGTTTCCTGGAGACAACCAAAAGATACATTTTGTTTCTCAATTCCATTCAGACAGCCCGTGTCCTTTAATTGGATACTTAAGGGGATTAATATGTAAAATGATTCCTTAAAGGTGTGTGTGGATTGCATTCCTTTTGATGATTGTTTTGCTGCTTGTGTTCTTAGTATCCCCTTGGGTTTCAGTAATTACAGCTTCATTTGTTTTCTTTCTGGAATCTCTTGCCTAAACTCATCCCTCTTTTCATTCGTAAGTAAGTATCGCTTTCAGTATTGGTTTTACCTGTTTGTATGATGGTAAGTTTTTCTTTCTCCAAGTATGGCAGACAGGTTTGCTGGGTCTGCAGTTGGCATCTCTGGTCTCTTAGAACTTGAGTTCTAAGGCTCTGCTGTGGTTTGCTGGGTCTATAGTTGACATCTCTGGTCTCTTAGAACTTGAATTCTAAGGCTCTGCTGTGTTCATAGTTTCCATTGAGCTGGATGTGGTGGTTCATGTCCAGTACTCAGAAGGCAGAGGCACCTAAGAACTCTGCGAGTTCAAAGCCTCCCTGTCTGCAGAGTTAATTCCAGGCTAGACCCTGTCTCAAGTACGTAAGTAATTATTAACTGTCTGCATTGAGAAAGCAGCTGTTACTCTGACCTTTGTTTGCTTTGTTTGTTTATATAATGATTTTTTTCTCTTGCAGCTGTCAATACTCTGTTTCATATGTTTAGTGTTTAAATGCTGATACGCTGTGGGGAGCTTTCTTTTCTAACCTTATCTATTTGGCGTTCTGTGTACTTCTTGAATCTCAATGGTGCCTTTTCTTAGTTTGGGGAAGTTTGTTCTCTGATCTTCTTGAAACTCTGGTCTGCACCGCCATTGACCTGGGTTTCTCCTCTCTCATCTATGCCTGTGATGCGCAGGTTTGGTCGGTCTTTTCACAGTGTCCCATATTTCCTGTATGTTCCTTTCCTGTGTTTAAAAAGTATGTTCATATTCTTTGCTTGTGTGGTCTAATTCTCCTCCTTTATCTCCAAGGCTGATAGTCTATCTTCAACTCTCCATCCTTGTGAGGCTTTCTTCCCCTTGTGTTTTCTAGGTGGATGATTGATTCATTTCCGATTGGGTTTTGTTCAGCATCGGTTTCTTTAATTGAGTTTGCTTCCCAAATCCTAGACTGTCTTTGTCATTCCATTCAGCCTTTATTGCTGTATTTTCTTGAATATTATCTTTTTGCTCCTTGAGCTGCTTCTCTTCCTCTTCCTTAAACCCCTTGATTTCTTTGAGGAAGTTTGTTGGTGTTGTTTTAATTCTGGAATTCATCTAGGTTACTCTCATCAGAGAACACTACTAAAGACCTGCTGGGGCATACTGACACTGGCAGGCAGTGACGGAGCCTGCCAGTCTACCTGTCCCACCTGGCATCTGTAGGCTCCAGTATTTCCTGCCTCTTATAGAGTTTGGAACCATAAGCATATAGTTTCAGGCCTTTGACTACATCTGAGACCCAGGTTCTTCATTTCCAGCATCCTTGGTATAGTAGTTAAAGACAGACAGGGTTATTAATATCATTGGCTTTACTCAGCCACTGTGATGGCAATGCTCATCATTACGGAAGCCTAGTACATCCAAGGTTAATCAACAGAAATGTGACAGCAGCACTTATGAAGTCCAGACTTACGTAGTAGTGGTAGTAAGTGACAAAGTGGGTAAAGACCGTTGGCCCCTTGTTGGAACTTTCGCATCTCCAATCCTCCGGTGCTTCACTGGAGTAGTTGACAGAAACCATTAGCCTGCATTCCAGCAGCCTGTGTTCTACCCTGATTCTCATACAGTGTGTTTAATCTGCCCTCTAATAAAAAAAAAAAAAATCACAGATGATCCACGCCGGGAAATGCTTCTCAGCAAGACCATGCTGGGCATTCCCTGTCCAGCATGTTAGGGGCAGCAGCATGATCCAGGTTCTGTCATGTGAGGCTCACAGCATCTGAGTTAAAGATCTGAGGGCGCCCTTTCCTGTGCCCTTTTAAGGTTGTCGTGGTACTTTAAGAGGCTAACATAAAACCCAGAGAGGAAAACCACATCTCCTTTTTGGATCCTGTCTGGAGTCACAGATGAAAAAAAAAAAAGATCTGAGGGGTTAAAACCAGACTACAAGAGGAAGAAGAGGCAAGAATGGCAGGCCTGTGGAACAGGCTTGTTACTGATTCAGTTCTGATGGTGGGGCCTGTTTCCATAGCCCCATAAGAATGTCAAGGCAGCCCTGCATGAGGAGAGCAGGGTGGGGACCTGTGAGTAGCTTTCTGTCCCCCTGGTGACCCGCTGATTTCACAGTCTCCCATGAGAGGTTGGGTTTCCTGTACCTGACTTGTAGAGCCTGAAGCAGGATGTCAAATCTCAGGACAGAACTCATTAGACCTTTGGCTGGGACTTTGAGGGGGCTATTGGCAGAGACGGAAGTAAAGCAACATTCACCATAGCTTCCTGCTGATAGCTTCGGTTTCTGCAGCCCGACTAAGAGAATCCGGCGCGGTGTACTAGAGCTGACTCTGGGAACCCGGCAGGTGCCTGCTTCCCCAGCACTGCCAGGGCAGACTACATCTCTCTCCAGCAGAGGTCGAGGGCTTCATGAGATCCGAGTGTTGACATGGACATTAGAGATGGTATTGTTTAACATGCATCATGGTGGTGGGTGCGGAAGAGACCATAAGAAGGGCTTTGTGAACCTTTGGTGGCAAAGATTCTGGTCCTGTTTATCCTCCTAACAATCCTGGCCAGGGACAGAAACACGCTGGTCAGTTTTAAACAGGAAAATGATAATAGATTTACATTTTAAAAAAAGAACCTTGTAGCTGCAATGTAAGGGCCATGTAGTATATACCAAGGCAAGCTGAAAGGCTGATGCTTTAGTCCTACTGATGAATATTTCTGGCTTCAATAGGAGAGAAGGAGGCACAGATACGAAAACTATTTAGCAGCAAAAAGTAATTGGATTTTATGATTGGGGGAACGAGGGAGACATTGGTGTTGGCAACCTGCTAGGATCAGGTAGTATTTCCTCATAGTAACAGTCAGCGCCATTGCTGTTGGTTAACAGTTGTCTAGAACCCCTGTGTGGATCTCTTCTCAGGGCTCTAACAACAGTCTCTAAAACTGAAGTGTCGGGAGAGGTGTCACTGAGGGACAAGATAGCAGTGGCTGCATGTACCTAGTCACACAAAGGAGAACTGCCTACCTTGGGTCTGCAGAGCACAGCCCATGACTTCTACCCCCAGGCTTACTTGGTAATGCGGCACCCTTGTCCAGGTACTGGGGGCGAGCCCCATGGCTGTCAGCTATGGCCTGTGTGTTAGGAAGGGAGTAAGAGAGCTCCTCCAGACACAGATTCCAATCCCACACTGGCTATGATGAAAGAAAAGTTGTTCACCCTGTCACTAATACAGCAAAACCTGTCCTGTATTTAAATGCGTTGCCCACCAGGTATCGAGTTCATAATGGTTCTAGAATTTTTAGCTGCCATATTTCACCTCTCAAGGTAAACATGAAAACCTCCCTTAAAATTCGTTGAGTCTTCCTCAAAAACAAAAAGATGGCTGGAAAGAGAGTGCAGTGGTTAAGAGCATATATTGTAATGCTCTAGAAGAAGACCCAGTTCAGTCCCCTGCACCTGTGTGGAACACCTCACAGCCACCTGCAGCTCCAGCCCCCAGGGCATTCTGTGCCCTCTTCCGGCCTTCATGGGCACATGTGCTCATGTGCACACACACACTACACACACACACCATACATACATACCACACACACAATTAAAAATAAAACATTTAAATCTTCAAAAACAACAAGAAAAGTAACTATATTAAAAATACTCAGATAGAAAAAAAACTTAAACATACATGTTACCAACATATCTGAACAGTGGAATCTAAAAGCTAAGTGTACCTGCTCGATGATACCATGTCAGAGAAATGACCTTGAGGACAGAGACGTCCGTATATTCGAGGCTTATAGAAAACCTCCAATGAAGCCGGCCGGTGGTGGCGCACGTCTTTAATCCAGCACTTGGGAGGCAGAGGCAGGCGGATTTCTGAGTTCGAGGCCAGCCTGGTCTACAAAGTGAGTTCCAGGACAGCCCGGGCTATACAGAGAAACCCTGTCTTGAAAACAAAACAAAACAAAACAAAACAAACAAAAAAAAGAAAACCTCCAATGAAAATGATCAGAAAAAAAATATTCTCTATAACTAATGCTATAGTCAAGCATCCAAACTGCAAGATGAAGATTTCTAAAATCTGCAAGAAAAATCACCACTTCCTACTTATGGACAACCTTATCAGTCAACAGAATTTTATAAAATAAACAGAACTAGACCTAGTGGGAGATGTATACTCCAATGCCCTAAGAATAACGGACTTCACTTGGGAGTAAAATTCCATGGAACTGTACATTACATTGATTGTAATCTCTCTAACGTTTATCAGTCTCCTCCCATGTATCCACTCCCAATATCCGTGTATCAAGGTCACCAGGACCTTCCCGTTACCAAGTCAGTGCTTGCTAGTTAGAGCCTAACCTCTCCCATCATAGCAGAAGCAGGGCTGACCAATGCATCTTCACACTCTCCTAATGGTTCCTTTGCCTCCTATCTGTCTGTCAGAACACCGTTTGTGTCCCTTCTGAGTTCCAGACAGACCTGAACAACTCCTGACTCAGTCTGAGCCACTGACAGAGCAGAGGCAAGTTGAGACAGGATGAAACTCACACACACACACACACATACACCCATGCATCTCACTGTGCACACACACCATACATGCATGTGCATGTGCACACACACACACATGTACGCATGCACACACTGCTCATCTTTTGTGGTTGCTGAGGTATGGACTCAAGATATATTAACTGACAAATTTGTTAATTTATAAAGGAAAGAAAACCCTGATCTCGTACCTTTCCTTTGCAGATTCGTTTTGTTGATGAGGGCAGATTCTTTATAGAATAATCAGAGGTAATGCATTCAGGAAGTACAATAAACGGGTAATTAATCCTTAGTGATTAATGGCTGCTAAGACAATCAGGTGAAAGGCTAGGAGAGCTTTATTCTAGGTGGATCAGATGGACAAAGGTTAGACCTCTGGTCCTTCCTGACATTAACAGTGGGATGGGCCGTGGCTTATGTGCCACGAAGGAAGCGTGTGCACTTTATAATGATGTACTCTTGCAAAAAAGATTAACTCTGACTCTAAATTCCAGATATAGCTTAATGACCTGTTTACGTGAGACAGAAGATAAAGGACCATCTTAATGGCACCTGTGGGGACAGTAAATTGGGTGTTAAATGTCAGACCTGTGCAAGAAAATAGACAATCTCTTCGACAAAGGAATTTGGAAAGATATAAGTGTGTAGACGGGTGGGTCAGGATGTCACCTATTAAAAGAAACTTAAAAGATGTCTACTTTATGCAAGTTGATGTCTTTAACTGTGCCTTGTTCCTGTCTGTGTGAGGGTTGTGTGCATGACACTGGCTCTCCCTAGAGCTGGAGTCACAGGCACGTGTGAGCCAACCCAGCATGAACCAAACTTGGATCCTCTCCAGGAACCGTATGTGCTGTCAACCATTGAGTTCCCCAGCTTAGCACTAACTTCTTGATGTGCAAGTGTGAGGATCTGAGTTCAGATCCCCAGTACCCACCTGAAAATCTGGATGAAGCATTACATATTCGTAATCCTGGTGCAGGGGAAACAGAGGCAGAGGGACCCCTGGGCTCGCTGACTGAGTTGGTGAGCCCCAGGCATAATAAGATCCTGCCTCAAAACAATAAGGTAGAGAACAGTTAAGATAGGCACCTGACATGAACCTCTCCCTACACACACGCACGCACGCACACACACACACAACCCAATATGACAGGAAAACACAGGATGTTCGAAGCTATCGAGAATCACCGTGACTTGTTCTGTGTGTGACAACACTGCTTGTGAGAATGATTCATCCGTTAACAGATACATTCTGTACAATGCTCAAGAATTTACAAGCGGCACGGCAAAACCAGAAAGAACGTGACAGTCACCGAAGCTGCGTGGTGGACATGAGGGGCTTGTTTTACTGTCTCCTACTGTGACGTACATTTGGAATGTTCCCTGAAATTTCCTTCCTCCACTTCCTCTCTCCCTCCACCCTTCCTTTTAAAGTAAGCTTAATACGGCTTATTTATTTTTGGGTTATGTGTGAGCGTTTCATCTTCGTGTTTGCCTGTACCCCACATGTGTGCTTGGTGCCCTCGGAACTCAGAAAAGGGCACTGGAGTTAGGGTTGTGAACGAGCGTGTGGGTGCTCCGAATGAAACCCCAGTCCTGCGAGAGCAGTCTGTGCTCCTAACCGCTGAGCCATCTCTCCAGCCTCCTAAAGGATTTTTACCAGGCCCTTTAATGGGCTCCTGTTCTGAGTAAACCTGTCTCTCTATGCGTGTGTGTGCATGCATGTGTGCATGCATGTGTGTACGTATAAGTGTGTATGTGTGTATGCACGTGTATGAGTGTATATGCACGCACATATGCTTGTTTTTGTGTGCACATATGCATGTATGTGTGTGTGTATGTGTGTGCATGTGTGGGTAACACTCATGATGCAAGCACAGTGTGAAAAAGGAACAGTCCCTGCCCATAGGAAGGAGTGAGTTAGTGAACTGAGTCAGCTCCAGTCAGCCTCCTGACATCCTTTCTGAGCAGGATGAGGCATAGCAAATGAGTAACAACAACTCATTCAGTGTTACTTGTTACACAACCCCACTAGTGGTATTCTCACCGGCTCATGCTTAGATACAAGTGTAAAATTTATATGAAGCAAAAATCAACCAGGTGACTTGATCAAAGTCAAGGGCCTAGGAGAGAATGTCTGGGCTCGGCACCACGTTTCTCCCCAGTCTCTGCTCCTGTTGCAAGCCACTCTAGCTGAAGTTTCCTCAGTTTGAATACCAGAGAGCTACGGGCCAGCCTGGCAGCAAGGGTAAAGGGACATTCCTACCCAGCAGAACACAAAATACCTTTCAGCACTTAACATTGAGAGGAGTAACAACACAGACAAACAAAAGCCATGGCCTAGCCCACGACAGCAG